TAATGACGAAATTACAGTGGTCGCTTAGTTGTCGTTTTACCCGAAATCCACTGTATATTCTTAATTGAATAAGAAATATGCGAGATAAATTGGTGAGATAATTATCACATATGAAGGGTTGATTAGAGAGATATATTAGAAGTAGAAACAGAAGTTGAGGGGAGATTAGATTACTGACCACAAATTAGATAAAGATATGAGTTGCTTCAGTTTCAGAGAAATGCGAAGATAAAAGTGTAGGCTGCGTGTGCAACAAGTCTTGGAGTTGAAGAACTTACGATGATGATGATCATTCTCTATATATGAAACGTTGAAATAAAAGATTTTCACGGTAACCTCTTGGAGAGTTCAGTACCTACTTAGATTTTAGGCCGTGCTATGAAACAACCATTGATATATTCCATTCTAGCACACTGAAAAAGTAGTAGTAAATAAATTTTAAAAAATTAGGTAAACAGAAAACCGAGAAATCTATATTTTGTATGAAATTTTATAACAGTAAAGAACAAAATATTAATTTATTATGGGAATATTCCTGGGTCCCAATGAGTATGTAAATTTCTTTTTCTAATAAATTATAATTAAATTGTAATGTATTACTATTCATTTAATTTAATTAATGTTAAAGCTGGCTGAAGTGATAGAACTCTTAAGGAAACTTAAAGAGCCATACACCAAATTTACATTATACTAAAGGATATTGTTTCAAAATAAATTCCTAGAATTGTTAGGAATAATTAAAAAACAAAAATATATCAGTAAATTGTTATGTAATGAAATACATACATGTACAGTACAAAACTTAACGGTAAGACTTTTGGTAGCGGGCCCTGGCGCCTGGACCTCCAAATTTCTTTGGTTCACAACGACGTGGATCTGCTACCAATAAAGTCCTATCATATTGAATTAGGATATCCTTTAATTCTTTTTTTGAAGCTTCATCAACATCTGTGGAAAAGAAGCTTCTTTAAGAATTTCAATTCAAAATTGACTATTATTACTTACATTTTTGATAATATGCAACAAGAGCCTTTGAGATAGCCTGTCTGATTGCATATATTTGGGATACATGACCACCACCATTAACTCTTACTCGAATGTCAACATTGGAGAATTTTTCCTTAAATGTAAAGTCAATTTTTACTTTGCAGGTATAAATCAAAATATGTTACATTATAAATAAAGCTATCAGATCCTTTTTCACATCAAAACTCTATCAGTTTCGGGATAAATGCACATCATTTAAAACACTTATTACTAAAAAACTATAAGAGTTCTTTTTTTTTCTCTCATTCTATTTCTAGAAGTCTGGTCGAATTTGAGCCTATATTTGTAACATCGCCACCTATGAAATATTTTGTACAATAAAGTGTTGGTTTCGACAAAAGTCTGACTACATAAAGGCCACTCTCTACATATGGGCGAATAGATATTATCTGGAAATTCTGTTGGCAATTTTAACAGGAACTGTCTTCTCTAAAAAAAATATTATAAATCAATAACAACAACAATCTACATAACTTGAATAAAAAAATTGGGCATATTTCGCAGATCACCCAAATATTATATATAAAAAAAATATGAGTGCTGTCAGCACAGGGCAAAGTAGTATTACCTAAACGAAAGTTAGTATCAGCAAATTTTTATGCTGAAGGTACGATGTGTTGCATACCTATTTACAAACAATTCCTTTAAATTTTAATCATCGAGTACTATACATCTATTAAAAAACCATAATGGCCGACATCAGTTACAATGC